GAAGAAGTCTGCGTTATAAAATAATACATACTTAAATTTTCTAAATTACAAACCAAAAAGAAATATACTATTAATCTCCATTTTAAAAAAGTTGAATTTGATCCACTTAGAAAATTACTTCTCGTGCTTAAACAAAATGACTGAAAATAATTATGTATTGCTTTTTTGGGGGGAAGGGAAAAATGATATAACCTTAAATGTGCTGCCACATTTCAAAGTTATACTATTTAATTTTCATACACATTTTTTCAGAGATCAATTAATCTAATTAACCACGTTTAATTCTAATTATTCTCCATCCTACGTCACCCTTATTTGCTTGCGGGCGACTACTACCAGACTTTTGAACGACCGTTCCTGTCATTAGAAGTGCCCTTCAAGCTCATGACATAATATTGTATACTATCACAAAATACTCAACCATACTTTGAATTTCTAACTTTTGAACTATTCAGCCTCATATAAAATCATCCATCTTGTCTGCGGTACTGTTTATTCATCAAGCCGAGCTACCATAGCAACTCCGAGCAGTTCAAACTGATGTACACTTGTATACATTAAATGTTAAAGGCACACCGCGATCCTGCTTTATATTATGCTCATTCGCCCATAATACGTTGTGCTGCGTGGTGTCTGCCAAAAACATCGTGGACGAAAACGCCGCGGAGAAAATAACACAAGGCGAAAACGTCGTGATGCAAAACATCGTGGGAGAAAAGATAACAAAGAGAAAGCATCGCAGTTCTAAAACATTGCCATTTTTTATTGCCTAGGCGGCCTACAGTCTGTTCTGCTAATATGTTAATTTCTGCTTAGCATTTAGATCTGGACTTGGCAGATGTCAGTTGAATCATTTCAGAACTGAGATGGATCACGTTTGGGTCATCAAGCAGAGAATGACATCATTTCTATTCGGTATGATATCAGTCTGGTTTATTGGGTATTTAGTTAAATTTTCTAACGGCTTAAATTGTTTTCGTTATTCATTCCTAGCTTGTAGGACTTCGAAATCTCTTTCCGTTGTATTCTAGATTTGATGTACTTTTCTTTCCTTTATCTGGAAGTTCTAGGCTTTGGAAAAGGGAAGGCACCCTCTGATTTTCATCCGGTGGTCTAAACAACATCGTCAACATATTGACTTCTTCTCATTCTTTAGTTTCATATGTCAAGTGCTCATCTACGCATTTCCAACAGAATTACGGTTTGAAATAGCCTACCTGTACAAAATGCTCATAGCATTGAGCTGGTGTTTGTTGCCTTAAAAGCTGTAATCCTTAACCTAAGGAGGGGGGAAATTTCCTTAATCTATATGGGGAGAAATGCCCTAATTCTGTAGATAATTATGCCTCCTTTCACATAAGTGATTTACAGGAAGAAGATTGAAAGATTTTTCCCTCTTGCGCTCCTGTCTTTTGGTGAATTGCTTTACATGTCTAGTAGAAATTTTGAGACTTTTGAGTTCTTCAAAATATGTTTCATTCTCTAATGCCCGCGAGTAAGCCTCACAGGATTGAGGCAGAACCTGGGTGGTAACTTGTCTTCTTCTCTAGGATTTGGTTTAGTTCCTCATTAACGCCAAGCTCCATTTGCTCCTTATATTGAAGGAGAAGAAACACATTCTTTAGAAGTATATCTACTGCGATACTCTTTTCTGGTAATTTTACAGGCTTTGCAGCAAAATCTAGCTATTCTGAATTTTTAGCTTAAATCTTTGGATAAAAAGCTCACTAAGGGTGTTATTGCTGGGAGGTGTTCTGGTATGTTAAGGTGATCTCTTCGCATTTTAGATTTTCAAACGTTTGCTCTAGGATACCACTAGAATACCCTTCTTTTTACTTCTCAATAACGATGTACATTCCATTCCATTAACTTTATTTAAGCTAGCATCTCCGTCGCTAAAGCGATTTGTAAGTTATCAGTATCTTTCACTTGCAGGATAACAAAGAAATAAAAATCAAAATGTTCCCCACTTCTTTGTACTTGTAAAAGGGTTGTGGGTTTGGGAACTTTAAGTAAAAAAATGAGTGATAGGAGACTTCTTTGTAATCATGATGAATAATTTCAATCAAGAACTGCAAATCGTGAAAAGCACGAGTGTGTTTTAAAGCACAAGAACAGAACTGTTTGCCCTATAAGCTTATGATCGCAAACCTTATATGCTTATGATCGTGGGAAGTACTACAGAAAACTTCGCCAGTTATGCACGACGGCTAATATCTGAATCGAATTAATGAGTTGTAGAAGGACTATGGAAGCTACTTTTATTTACAAGCAGACCTTAACTTACTTCGAAATATTCCTATGGGACTCTAAATGTCTTAGAAATGTTCTGAGCACTAATACTAAAGATTTAGGCCTTTAGTAAAGCTAAAGGAACTTCCTGGGGAAATCAGTGTCCGCTGATCACTTGTTAAGATCAGAGACGTGGCTGTCGTATTTTCTATGAAATTTCGATGCAATAACAAAAATATCTTGATGAAACAATTTAATATCTAAATTCTGGTAAATAGAATTTTTATGAACAAAGAAATAATGTAAATAAATATACAGCTTTCTTTTCGTATTAATAGTTCTATAGAAGTTGTGCAGATGTGCATAAAACTCGGCTTGAGGACCATGCTACCGTATTGGGCAAGTTACTGATGACACTTTTCAAACTGCGAATCTGTCTCGGGGGAAACGGTGAAGTGGATATGTAAGTAAATGAGAATTTTGGATTAAAACAATTGATTCGTCATAATGATCCAAAAGCGCTGTTTCGTGTCGCATTGTGGATCTTTTCAATACTATAATCGATTTTGTAATGAATTTGTTTCAGAAATGGATGAATGAATATATACCGCAAGTCTGTCTACATTAACGGTACGCTATGTGTGTAATAACAGCACCGAAAAGAATTTATTTTTCTTTCTTTTCTCCGCCTTCCCCAGATACCTCCAAAAAAGAGCAACTGGAGAAGATATGTTTAACTGCATTAATAATTGCATTTATACCATCACACCAGGTGCAGGGCCCCTATGTTGATATCGAATACAAGCAGACATCGTGCGGCCTCCTCGAGTCTCCAGACACGTATACGGCATTCAGAATACAACACTCAGAACTGGGACTCGTCTGAAAAGACGACATTGTGCCATTCCTGTTTCCAGCTTTGTCATTCGGCGCACCAGAGTCGCTGTCTCTCTCTATACTGCATTGTCAAGCCGAAGTAATGGTCGCCGTGTTGATAGTCCATGCTGCTGCAAACATTGACGCACCGTACGAGCGGATACTGGGCGTGCTGCAAACATGCCCGTTTCCTGATTAATGGTCCGTGATATGGTTGTACGTTTTCGCAGGGCTGACCTCATAATATGCCTGTTCTCTCTGGCGTTAGTCATGGGAGGGCGTTGAGATCCTGCATACCGTTCAGAAAAACTATGCAATGTTGAAACTATGCAATCCATTGATTCAATATTCGCATAATAGTTGTTGGATGTCGTGCGATGTCGATCACGGAACGATAATCTACACTTTCGACAGGCAATAATCCTGCCTCTATCGAATTTCGAAACTTGCTGGTAAGCATTTCCTCTTCTTATTCGAGGCATAACATGATATTTTGAGCAAACTGCAACCTTACAAAGCACTTTCCGAATGAGAAATCCACCACACAACTTTTCTTTTATTCTGTTCTTTTGATGTCGTTTTCTCCCTCATGTGTCGTCTAAATGCACTGAAACGATAATCATTTGCATATCCTAATCTCTTCTTCCTGTCACGTGATTTTGACGTTCGTCATATCGTTCCTTGCTGGTGCCGCAATTTTAATGGTCAAAAGTGTAGATTTTCAGAAAGTCACGAGTCCATATTTATATCATTTTAAAAGTAGTGAAATAGACTTCGAATGTAAAGAAACGTCTGACAACTTTGTAAGAAAATTAAATGTTAAACTAATTATTTTCTTTTGGACATTGAGTAGTTTCAATTTACCATATTTCATACATACATTTTATTTGCGTAAGAATCACACACGGCTGGCGAGACGAGCTATGACCACGGCTAGTATACATTACTGAAATGCCTGTAAGGAATTATTTAATTTCCGTGCGCAATGGATGGGACCCTGAATAACAAAACTTTGTCCTCGGTTTGAATCCTGACAAACGAACTATCTGCATGAGCGTTTTCGTGTTTTTTCCAAGCTAAACGTAAATATAACACAGTTTTCCATGAAAAGTTCTCCATAAAGGCATTCTTCCTTCCTCGAATGCCTTTGTCTTAATTAAAATCAATCAACCAACCTTCAGGGATAAAATAAATTGAGATGAATTACTTCAATACATTGCTTATGAAAACAATTCCTGCTACAGTAGATACCCTTCATGCTTTAAGTTTGCCTGTAAAATTTACTTAATACTTTATATTAATACCTCTGAGTCGAATACCAGAATATTTTAAATATTTTATCTTATAACCATCGTGGTCTGGTTTTATAAAGGCGGAGTTCTCTTGTCTTCTCGATACTCCAAGTTAATGCTGAATATATAGAACATCTTATTTTAAAATATAAGCCATACTTTTTTTTTTCATTGTAAAATATGAGTATCTAATATATTTTTTATTATCATTATCACTCAAGTTACATTCAACGAAAAATTTAATTTATTAATTCATATAATTTTTTTAAATTACATATCTTTAAATCATGAAGGAAAAAAATGCAAGAGAGCTAATTAGATTTTAATAATCATGCCTGAAAAGATATAAAGCAGAAGAAAGAGATAAAAAGTGAATCATGAAGGCTGAAATAATTAGCGAAGCTTTCATTCTGCATAGAGATTCAATTCACGAAATATCGTTTAAAACTTCTCGAACAACGAGAAAAGAAAACTAACGAGGAAATAAATTCATAAAAAGGTACAAAGCGAAACTGCGCATTTGGCGAACGTTCGATAATCCTGTGGCAACCCGAAATATCGCGCCAACGTTGGATCCCGTCGCAGGAAGGGTGAGATTCCCGCTGTTTTCCGCAGTCAGTCATCTCTTATTCCCACGCGATGAGCGATACGTCACTCACCGGCCAGCAGCACTTGGTGCTCGGCATTGATATCGGAACGACGACGGTCAAAGTATGTCTTGTGTCGGCCAAGACGAAAAGTGTCGTCCAGGCCGCTTCAAGGGAGACTAAATCTTCAATGGTTAGCGACTTGGGCCCATTAGGCAGCGAACAAGATGTCCACAAGATCTGCACTGCCTTGCAGTTCTGTTTATCCAGGTTGCCGAAGGAGTCTCTGGTACGAGTGACCCACGTGGCCATCTCAGGGCAAATGCATGGATGTGTCCTTTGGAAATCTGACAATGGCTGGAAAAGGAACAATTTTGGAAGGTGAGTTAAGTGTATTCCATGCATCTGCATATCATTGGCTTATATCCAACTAATTAACTAAAAGATCTGGAACATCTATGAATTGAAAGTTTTGTTTGAACTGTTTAGTTATGTTTCACATTCTCTTGCTAAAGTTTCTAGTGAGATCCTAAACTCAATTTCGAAAAACTAAATATGTTTAATGAATGTTTAACTCTTTATTACGAATTTGTGGAAACCGCCACATATGAGGTACTTATTTGTCTTTATCTATGAATGAGTGACCCTGTGTACAAGATAACATAGTTTCTGGTAACTTGTTACCTTGTTCGAACCATGAGAATTGCGTCACGGTACTCTGAATTCTGACTTGTTCTAGTGTTACTGGTTATTCCGTCTGTCCTAAAATAAGTTTCGATTTTGCATTGTATAGAAAAACTGAAGGAAAGCAGTTTTTGATTTTCGACATCAAATGTCATGATGTAATGTAATAAGTTAGTTTTTTACAAGTAAATAATTTTTTTACGTTATTTGTAAGTAAAAAAAATTCCAAATTCTCTTTTAATTTAAACATGGAAGAAAAAAAACAATACTTTGACCACAAATCCTCAGAAAAAACTCAATTTGCTGCCGAACAGACAAGTTTTCCCGACGGGTATACATAATTAAAGTTTGCTTAGTCAGGATTCAAACAAAATTGTTGTTAAAACTACACTATAGTTATTGTGTTTAAAATTCGAGGCATAGCAAATGCCGCAAAATTATTATATAAATAAAATATGTTTATAATTTTGTATATTAAATTAATTATTCGTTAGAATATGAACATTTATTAATGGACGAATTAAAACCTAGTTTGAACATTTGGCTTCTGTACAGAGGAAATAATTTGCGATAGAGAGTTCTCTAGGAATGATTTTTTATTCAAAGAGACGCCTTGAACGCTTGTTATGTAATTAGCAACTTAATATTTGTTGTTATAGATTTTGTTTTCATTCTTTTAATGGTATATGTTAAACTAGATTTAGTTGATGGGATTATTCTGAAATCATTTAGAAATGCATTTGCAAGGTAGGTAAGTCTTATCCGATAACGATTAAACTTAAAGAGTGCAGAAAAGTCTAAATCATATTTTTGTTTACAATTCATATTCAGTTATTTTTCGAGTTTACGTTCTAATGAGATTGATAGTCTGTGTATTCAAAATGTCAAACCGATAGAAATACTGAATTATTTGGGGGGTAAGAAGCGAGAGGTATTTATGAAATGGACAGTTTTTGTTGAGGATTTGTATCTATGTGTAAATAGTATAATTTTACCTTATGTATTACATATTTTACATGAAATCTTACAGTACAGGATGCAAAACGAAACACGTTTTACATAACAGGGGGAAAACTAGAACATTAACCATTGCTTGTTATTCGCATAGAAATACAACTGTTGCCACTTAATTGTAAATAATTATTTAAATAAAATTACCTTTCCTTATTTTTAATCGAAACGTTAAATCGAGTTTAAATTAAAGAGCCTTTTTTTTAACAGTTTATTCCATCTTAGTTAGCAAAAATATTTACCATTTTATTGAATGAAAATTTTAATGTACTGAACAGTTCTTAAAATGAAATCACCCTGTATGCGGTCAGGTCGTAAATTTAGAACATCTTTTTTCAAGGGGGGGCGCTGAAAAGGAGGGGATAATCTTGCTCGTGGTCTTGAGAAAATGTGGGGGTCGTTTAAACATCTAACTTTTCTGCATTCAGTTTTTATACAGAGGAAAATACAAATTGAATTCTTTGAATGAATGCAATTTTGTACAGTGAAAATGTACTATTGAACTATAAAATGTAAGGCAAATAACATCTTTTTTTAAAGTAGGAGTAGAAAGACAGATATTTGTTACATCAATGAATTTTTAGTAAATATTGAGTTTTTCATTTCGAATGCTATGTTCCATGTATGCGAAGTAGCTGAGTATCTGAGAAAGTAGTCACAACCCAAATGGCTTTCAACCTTTTCACGTCTAAAGAACTGTTTTTCAATTACATTGTGGTCGCTGCTTTTTAGTTAATTTTCTGATGACATATAAACAATAATTGCTTTTATTTGAGACTTATGAATAAAATAACGCAAACTAAACTGCAGAAAGTTCTTCAGAATGAAGTTAAATAATACTGAAAAATACATTATTGATGCTCTTTTGTGTTTTATATGTAGTAGTTCATATGGAATCCTTAAATTATATATATCTACGTATAGGTATATATAAATGGAATCAAATATAGAACAAGGTATAAAATATCAAAGAAAAATATCTTTATTATACAATATTCATTACCATACGTATATTTACGTAATATCAGTATGAATGGTTAGTTATGTTTCGTACATATATAATTTATTTTTATATTTATAATGTTCATTTACCATACATATATTTACGTAATATCAATATAAATGGTTAGTTAGGTTTCGTACATATATAATTTATTTTTATATTTTCTATTATATTCAGTATTGTATACGTATCTGTATTGTCTGAAGTTTAATTTTACTTGTTCTCCTTTGGGTTACGACTTTTATGTGCCTACCCTAAATTCGTCGTTTTGGCGTAAATTTTCGAAATTTTTTTTTATTTATTCATTTTATAGGCCATACATTTAGGTTTCTAAAATGCTTTATTTTTGTTTTTACGATAACTAGAAGCAAAGTTATAGTATAAATAATAAACCGGAAGTGAATTTTTTGGTATGCCGGAAGTTTGGCATTTAAATGGTCATAAAAATGTAAACAATGAGTTTAAACAACTATTTTCTAATTATTAAACAATATAAAAGCTGTAAAAGCAACACGTCTTTCACTGTGTGACATTTTGCTGATAAAATGCCTACATGGGAATACTCAAAACAAGTAATGAGTGTTTTAATAATCCTTTTCGTAGGACTATTTTACCTAAAGAAACTTTTGTCCAACTGAAAACATTCCTTTTAGGTGCACATATTGCTGTATTATTATTTAATTCAAGATATTTAGGACTTTTACCTATTTTCAGCTATATAGAAATAGAAATTAATCCCATTATGCTTGAAAGCTACATGGGAATAGACAAACAGTGAATTCAGAAATCGAAACGCCAATCTCTACAAGCAACAAAATTATCCAGGAAAATGCTAAAAGTCAAAATTAGTTAAGAATGAAGTAAAAGAGGGCCTAACATACAAATACGGCGAGTTTTAAAGGTCTAAAGTAGCTACAAAATTTTTCGTGCTGTATTAAAATCTTTAAATGCATTTTCTGAGAAATTGTGCTTTTCGTTACTTTTGATTGCGATTACGTTAATTTCTCAAAATGTATTTAGAATATTGAAATGAAATTTTGGCAAAATGTTTTATTCATCTTTAGATGTGTTCTGTAGCAAAATCTGACCACTTTGTATTTATTTATTGATAGTATTTTGAAAAAAAGAGGTTTTTTTTTTTTTTTTTAGTCCAAAGGGATTTCAGTCCCGAAGGACTATTGCTTTCGTTTTGGCATTTTGCGTCGGACTCATAAACGTCGGTTCACTTTTCAAACTGTTGCCACAAAATGTTAGAGTCCTGCATTATATTTGAAGAAATTAAATAATGAAAAATCTGCATAAATGATTGTCTATTTCTCGCATTGTGATAAAACAATGGTACATAGAGCCATCGAATTTTGAATGACGAAATCCTACTGCGAATATGGGCATCTGAAATCCCAAATTTGGAATTTGTTTTATTATAGATTTTATATTTTGTAAAACTTTAACGAATTTTTGATTTACAAACTCAATGCTTTAAAAGCGAGAAATGGCAACGTTATATAGAAAAAAAAATACTTTAAAAAAATACGTTATATATATGTATGTATTATACATTGCTCATACTCGTCAACTGCAACTTTTAATATCTCTTGGAAAAAAATCAGGATGGGAATCCAGAAAATGATTCTTAGTGAGGCTAAAAATATTATTACTAGGCATTGTCATGCCACAGTGTTTAAAAAAAATCCCATTGTTTAAAGGTAGAGCCTATGCTCATATCCTAGTCTAAAATTAAAAGTTGCGAGTCAAAATTAAGGGGGTTGCTCTTAGGAAGCCTTAATTAGAAGTAGTTATAGGAAATGTTAATCAATACTTATTATCTTATGGATTAAACACTTACTTCCCTATTTGATCACGTACTTACTTGGCTATTTCCATTTATATTCGTCATTTATAAAGAAAAGAAAGGTGAATCAAAATGAGTTATATTCTTGTTTTTCCAACTGCAAAACCATCTTAAGCTACTATCGGATTTAATCTTTAAATTATTCCAATAATAATCAGAACAATGGGGCCATTATTCTTAACTATAATTTATTAATGCAAATCCTATTTTGGTTTCAAATGCCTTTCATAAATTACATTAATGATATGGATATTTACTAATTATTACTATTACTAAAATAGTTGTAAATACTTTATTACTGGTACGTTTTATGTACTATTTTATTAAAAAGCATATTTATTAATTTATTAATAAATTTATTATAATTTATTAATATTAATTATTTATTTATTAATAAACCAAAAAAAGTGCATACTAATATCATTAAGCTGTTTAATAAATACGTAAATACGTCAAAACTTTTCGTATCCTATGTAATTTGTCTCCATTCCGGTACCGTGTGCATCCTTGTACGCGTTACTGACTTACAGTGAAAAACAGAGGAGAGTTCCATTCAAGATTTTATTCCTGATCTACTGATACTGAATGAGACCTAAAAACACTTTTCTTTTAAAATATATGTCCCCTTAGGATCCCCGACACAGCCGTTTAGTTTCCCCTTCCGTAATTAACGTCAGTCTCTTGCTCTTGACCGCATTTGCAAAGCCACCCTTAAAATTATTATTTCATTTAATGAATTTAACAACGGTTTTATCGTAGCTATTAATTATCAAAAGTTACAAAAACTGGTATAACCTTCATTAACTTCTGACAAAACATAACAGAAACTTA